TGTTTTTCGTGTTATTTCTCTCGCGTGCAAATATGTAGAGAGTTCGTTGGCGTTATCTGATACTGTTAAGCTCCCACGTTACAAGTCGTATCCAATTGTTGAGATCGCTACGCCCGAATAAAAGGAAATTTGCATATATAGTTATAGATAGAGAGCAGGCAGCGAGTGGGGGGTCTGTGCTCCACTGGATATGTGTACCGTGAATGCTTGGCGTGCAACCCATGCATCATTTGGAAATTAAGATTTTTTGTATTGAATCAGAAAATGGCATAGCTTTTGGAATGGTACGAAATGCATTTCTCAGATCGTTAGCCATCTGAACCGAAACCTGCTTGATCTGAGAGTGTAGTAGCTTCCTCTGAACTGGCGCGTGTGGTTATGTTCTGTTTTAGTTTCGATTTCGGTTTCCGGTTTATTCACTATGCCAGCTCGAGCGCTGATGAGATCTATGAGGTGGGGCAAGAATAATCATAGTCATTAGGCTGTGCTGACATTGTGTGAAGTATTGCGAATTGTAGGGGTTTTTCACGGATTTTTCGTGCGGAGTTGACGTGCTTTTTGACAGGGTTCTTTTTCAGCTACAGGAAACACGCCCGGGTGGTATAAGAGATGGCCCTGTGAAATTGATCCAGATCCTCTTGGGCCGGTGTGACCGCCTTATAGGGAAGTGATACATACATACAGGGGGGGACATATGATACTGCATACATACGAACTCATAATATATATTAGATAGACATTCGTGGTATAGCTGAGATGGGATCTTAGATCCACATCTTAGGGCCCTTCTCGTTCTCTTTCTTCTTATCCGTTTTCTCTCTCTCTCTCTCTCTTCTCTCTTCTCTCTCTCTCTCTCTCTCTCTCTCTTCTCTCTTCTAATCTCTCTCTCTCTCTCTCTCTCTTTCTCTCTTTCTCCTCTCGCTCTCTCTCTCTCTCTCTCTCTTCTCCTCTCTGCCGTATCTCTATCTCTCTCTCATCTCTCTTCTCTCTCTCTCTCTGCCGTCTCTCTATCTGTCTCTTCCGTTCTCTCTATTCTCTCTCTCTCTCTCTCTCTCTCTCTTCTCTCTCTCTCTCTCTCTTTCCTCCTCTCTCTTATCTCTTTCTCTCTTTGCTTCTCTCTATCTCTCTCTCTATCTCTCTCTCTATCTCTCTGCTTTCCTCTCTTCTCTCTTCTCCCCCCTCTCTCTCTCTCTTCTCTCTCTCTCTCTCACTCTCTCTCTAATCTCTCTTCTCTTCTCTCGTTTGGCACGGTGTAGGTTAGAGCGGGAAGGATGTTGTCGATCGCTTATAGGCGACGCAAACACGTCATCGATGCCCCGTCTTGCTTGTTGTAAACTTCGCGTTGACCGCGTTACGAGCTCATGCAGGATATGTTGCAAGGACCGGTGAGGCTATCCATCAGTATAGGACGGCAGACATCTGCCAAGACACGGATGATGAACGATGGCAATGATATGTGTGCGTGTGTAGAACTTGTTGCGGTTTGCAGTCCCCTGTGGTGTTGTGTGTGTGTGTGTTGTGTGGTGTGTGTGTGTGTGTGCTGTGTGTGTGTGTGGTGTGTGTGTGTGTATGTTGTGTCGATGTGTGTGTTGTGTGTGTGTGTGTGTGTTGTGCGTGCCCGTGTGTAGGAGTGTATTTGCGGTTTTGTGTGTGTGTTGGTGTGTTCTTTTTTGACCACCCGTGCGATTGGTGCTGGTGTGTGCGTCGTGCGTGTCGCGTCGTGTCGTGTCGGTGTGCGGTCGCTGTGCGGTTCGCGTTCGTCGCGTGTGCGTCTCTCACGTTGTGCGCTGTTGCGTCGTGCGTGTGTGCACGCGTGTGTGTGTGTGTATGTTGCGTGGATTGTGGTGTGTGTCTATGTAAGTGTTTGCGGGTTTGTGTGCCTGCTCCTGTGTGTGTGCTTGGTGCGAGGGTGTGCGTCGCTGCTGTGGTGTGCGTGTGCGTGTGCGCGTGCCGCTGTGCGCTGTGCGCTGTGCGCGATTGCGGCTTGCGGCTTGCGTGTGCGCTTACGGTCCACCTCGCCCCCGGGCCGTTGCGTGCCCCGCATTGTGCGTCGGCTGTGCCGTGTGCGTGTGCGTAGCGGCGCGCGCGCGGTGTGTGTGTGTGTGTGTGTGTGTGTGTCATATCAATATAATAGGCCTGCTCATTTGTCTGAACTGTGTAAAATGTCAT